AGCATGATTCCCAAGTTAACAAGGTCAAACAGGTACATCTATCAACTCTGGTCCTAAAATTTCAGAGAACTACAAGTTCTGAAGACCAACTTTGAACCGTCATAACTCACAGACTATTTGGCCAAATGCCATGAACATTTAACACAAGCTAGTCAAGTGAGCTTTCTACAACTTTGTTATAGATAAGATTCATAGAAAACATCATCTTCACCATGTAATTTGCTTAACTCAAAAATCTATCCAGAAAGTCACTATAAGTTAATTATAGTAAAAATAATATTTTACTACATACAAGAATGGTACTTTGAGCACTACCAATGTTACATCAAATGAACACTAGAAAACATAGTGGCCATTCCTAAATAAATTCTTTCCATGCATTTATTAATTTATTTAGATAATTAGGTGAATTAATAAACATATAGCCAAAGTGCAAGAAAATTCCACAAATATTACAGTAGCTTATACATATTCCAAATAGGCTACTATATAAATTTCATAGCATTTGAACAAGTACAACATCCTACACAAAAATGACAAGCCAGCAGGGCTTAAAATAGCATAAATAGGAAATCCTACTAAAAAGTGTCAAACAACACTATTCATATTTTCCTTAGCTTCATCACAGCACAAGAACACTGTACAAAAAGTTTCATGCTCAATGGATACATATTTTTACCATGAAAAATAGCACAAGAATCTAGCATTTATTTAAGATAAATAGCAAACTCCTATTCCAAGCAAGATCACAGTGCAACCAATATTTTTCCTAGGTAGTACATGACAATACAAGACCAAAAAAATTGGATCACATTTTTAGCACTTTCCTAGCTCAAGTTATAGATTTTACAAGATTGAAACCATTTAAAAGCATTTATGAAACTCTATTTTAATCTCCTAAAAAAATACAAGAAATAGTGCATTTCTTAAAATACTACACTTCATGAGGAACCCAACAAAATTTGGTTCACTCAAATAGGACACTCCTAGCCCTAGATATCATTTTCCAAAGTTAGCACAAAAATCAGGAAAAGAAATAACAAAACCTAAAACTACAGACATTGACATGCGGGACCCAGTAGTCAGCGGACCCCACATGACAATCGCACAGAGACAGGGGACAGCGGTCGACCGGCGCTAGCTCGCCGACGGCGAACTCTCCGGCGACACCGACACCACTGCGATGATCCTCTCTCTCCCGCATCGATAGAGGTAGGTGGCTCGCACAGGGACACACCGGAGCTGGCTCATCTCTGACCACGATAGGTCTAGGCGAGAGGCGCTATAGCATCACGGTGCTCAGGCGATACTACCAAGGCTAAACTAGGGTTAGTGAGTGCGCTAGGGAAGCCTGGCCACGGGCATGTCCGTGCGGCGGTGGAGCTCACTCCGGCGAGGCTCACACGCCGGCGATGTTAGAGTGGTAGAGGTTCGGCGAGGTAGGGTTAAAGCAACTACGAGACACTAGGAAGATGACGTGAAGGAAAGGAAGCACGGAGGAATGGTGGTTAGCTTGGGCCACGGTGAGCTCGAAGTCCGGCGAGGTGCCAGTCACGGTGGCGGTGATGGGAATGACCAATAGGCCCTCACCTGGTCACGAACAAGACTGCAAATGGGTCAAGGGAGTAGAGCGAAGCAAGGCGCGTCTACAGGCATGAGCAATTGCGCAATGGCTGGCCGGCGAGGAGCTATCGCGGTGGCGGCTTTCTCGGCAGCAATGGCATGGCGCGGCGCTTTGCTTTTGCGTGCTCGGATGAGGCGAATGGGCGCGGGCGAAGGCAACAGCAGATGAAGCAGCAGGCGCGTGGCGTTGAGGTGTCCATGATGGCCTAACCGGTGGGGGCAACGCCGGCGTCGACTTCCACTTGGCGCGTGTGTGGTCAGCGCCCTGTCGGCCATGATGGCGTGAACACAACGGCCATCAGAGCCAGCATCGGTTGCCTAACAGCGGTATTTCTCCCCCTCCTAAATCCTAATATGTGGCGAGTTAGCAAAATCCCCTTAAATCAAAGTTGTAGAGCTATGTTAGGGCTACAATCTTGCTTTAGAAAGCATCAGCTAATTCGTAAAGGTTTAAGAGTTACATCAACCCAAAGTAGGCTACATTGAACTGTGGACTCAGTTTTGACTTAGAAAATTTCCTAAGTTAGATAAACAGCATTGCAATGATTTTTGTGATCCAAATTCAAGCATGTTAGGAGCTGAATTAGCCTATGACCCAAAAATAAAAGTTGTTACACTACTCAAGTACTACAACTTTGTTTTAGGGTGCACATCCATCCAAAGTTTCTAAAGTGTAGTTCAACTTCAGTCAAACATACCACATGAAATTGGTACTTAACACTATAGGTATGACTTAGAGACCAAACTAGCCTTAGTTATGAATACCAAAGTTGTTCCTAGTCACATTCTAAACATGTTTAGGGCACCCCTAAGGTTCCACAATCATTTCATACATTGATCACATGTAAATCCTTGGTCAAACTAAGCATGTCATCACTTAGGAGCTTAATTAGGTAAAGTGATCCACATGAACATTGTTCCATTAAGTATCCTAAGTGTAGCTAAGGTATTTTAGTGACCAACATCAACCACTTGTACTCAATCACACATGATCATAAGCATACACATAGGGAAAACATAAAATAACAAGTCATGTTTCACATGTTTCAATTGCATGTTTCATATGTGAAAGCTCATATAGGAATGCTTGATGCTTATGCTCATGCAATGCAAGTGCAATTATGCAAGCCTAACACCTAGGGTGTTACATATCTTCTTAACCAAACACCATGCACTGCTGTCAATGACTCCATACCCTTTCAGCTCCTTTATCACAAATTCATACAAGAACTGTAGGGGATTGTTGATTGCATATCTCAATGTTGTGCAACAGTATCATGAAATTTGTGATATGTTTTAAGTTGTATTTTAGATTTGTGGTGCAGAACAAATGGCGATTCCAACCCATTGGGACTTGTGCTTTTGAATGGCTTGCGATTTTTGTGCTATAAGTTGGCATTAGGGTTGTAGAGCACCAGTTTCGTAGGGTATATTCAATGGCTTATTTTTGGCACAAGCGGGTTTTTCCTGTCGGGCTTTCCTATTGGTTTTTGTCAGGAAAACCCTGCAGCCTAGTAGTGCATGCCATTGCTAAATTAATCCTACTGTTTTGGCAAGTTTGGGAATTGTGAGTGGTGCTAGATTGGAATTAGTAATGGAGTGTGATCTGTAGTACTGCATTTCGGCCGCACATGATGCCACCACCACTGCATTATATTGCTAGCCACACTGTATGTGTGTTCGTTGTGCCTTGGTCAACACATTGGCTACAGTCTTGCCAGCTTTGTCCCCACCCTTGTCTCCACCCATTGATAACACTGCCCAATTGTTAGTCCAACCTCCCACTTACCATCCACTCTGACTTAAAAAACCTTCCATTTACTATAAGTAATTTGAATTTATCAAAAAAAATATCTGCAGATGCAATATTTTTTTATCGTGCATTACCGATTCTTAATTGAAAATATTTGTTTTCTTACTCCACTTTTAGGTATTGCTTATAATTTTCTCACCCATTCTCACTGAAATGTGGTCCTAAGAGTGGCATGCCAGTGATACATCATGTAGCTAATCAGGAAGTTTCTAGGAAATTGCTAACTAGATCATACTTTCAACGAATAGTGAGTTTGATCACAATGCTAACTGATATTTCCAAAATGTAGATATACATATATGGCAAATGCTTAATCTTAATTAGAACCAGATAAAAATGGTGGCTATGTTTTATTAGCATTAAACATGACCCAAATTGAATTGCTTAGGCTGACTCCAACAAGCTATGCATATGGCTACCCAAACTCATTTTGGGTCCTGCACAGTCAAAACCAGCCCTCCAACAGAATATGCAAAGGAGAACCCATTTTGGGTAGGAAGGAGAGAGGGAACCCACATATGCATCATCTTTCTATCGCGACCCAATCCCTGCGCCTTCGACATGGTGGGCCCGTCTTGACGGCTGCGGAGGAGGAGGCCTCGCGCATGACCTACCTGACGGACAGGTCATCGAGGATGGAGAGGACGAGATGCTCGAGCTCGACCTTGACGCCGAGCAGCGGCTGCTGTGCGGCCACGGCGGGGAACCGCCGGCGCTTGGCGGGTCTGCGGCGGCGGGGAGCGGGGAGGCCGGCGAGGACGGCAAGGGCGGCTCCCCGCGACGGCGCATCCAGGCGGGACCGCGGCCACCGCGGCTGGCGAGGACGGCGAGGGCGGTGCGTGGCCAGGCGGGACCGCGGCTGGCGAGGACGGCTCCCCGCGACAACGCATCTAGGCGGGACCGCGGCCGGTGAGGACGGCGAGGGCGGTGCGGGGCCGGCGAGGACGGCGCGGTCGTCCGCCGCGGCCAGCGAGGACGATGGCGGTGGCGGGAGCCGGGAGGCCAGCGAGGACGGTGAGGTCGGGGATTTGGGGCCTCTGTTGGAGAACGACAGTTTTAGGTGTGGTACCCTTTTACTGTTGATGACCTATACTCAAGAATAGGTCTCCTATTTGGGTTTTATCTGTTGGAGACAGTCTTATATAAGGCAGGATAAGGTCAAACAGTACCAGAAACTGAAAGTGCGTTGCAATTATTATTTTTCTAAACTGCAATGTGTCATGTTAGGAAGCGTTATACACACTATAATAATACTACCTGGCAGTTTCTATGCATAAGCTAATTTACAATTTCCTAATAGCTGCTGACAAATGGGTCGCACCTTGCCCACGGGAAAGAAGGACCTCTATGTCAGTGATACCGTGTTAGAATCCAAAAGAGACATGTTGATATACTATTTCTAAAGGTATTCTGATACTTCAACTCACAAGGAAAATGTTTGCACTTCGTACTTTTCTTCTATATATAGGAAACTTCTCAAACTCCTTCACATCAAAACACAACGCCTCCTTCAAAAACACTTCCATATTTTTAGTAGTTCCTTTGGATTCGGATTCTCCATCATATGAAGCCTAAGAGGCCAAGGAGAACCGGTATCCACTATGTTGAGAATGATATTGACCGTAGATTCACATTCATCAAGTGGCGCGATGCGCTTTTCAAATCCGCAGCTGACCTATCCATCCTCACTGGCGCGAAAGTTGCTGTTGTAGTAGAGTCCGAACGCGAAAAAAATTTCGCATTCGGCACTCCATCAGCTGGCCCCATTATTGATTCTTTCCTTTCAGGGAATGTGGAATGTCCAATCCCTCATGAGGTACAAAAGGCCAACATCATTTTTCTAGAAAATAAGCTAGTCCGGCTAGGGAATCTCAAAGACGTGCAGGACAGGAGGATGAGGGTTTCTATGGCATGTTCCAAGGAAATTCAAGAAAGTTCAAAGATTGCTAAGCTTGTCTATGTTGAGATAGATGATCTCAGTGTCGACGAGCTCAATGAGCTGCTACATGGGCTCACACGGATCAATCAAGAGATTGAAGATAATTTGCGTGCTTCACAAATCCAGGTGCCACCAAGACATTTGCCATGGACTTCTGTACAACCTCCCTTGCAGATTCCAAGATCGTCTAGTGCTGTCCCAGAGCCATCATGGTTGCAGTCCTCACTTCTGAACTCAACCACGCTGCGCTCACCACAAGCACCACCAGTGCCCCCGTTACAACACAGTCTGATGCCACAGCACCCTTGGGTAGCGGATATGTTGCCACTACCTAACGAAGCACAACAGTACAACGATCAAAGCCAGCAATTGGTCATCAACAGTAACCCCTCTGGACATTTCTGGCTACCGTCTCTACTATCCTCCGTGCCACCGCCACCACCACCACCCTCATCAGAACATCTACCTCCAGAAGTTGAGCTTCCTTGCCAAGCACTGAATTTAAATCCGGTGCTGCCACCTCAAAGTCATGAAACTAACACTCACTCCATCTTAGAAAATAATGATCTTTCACTTTTTGCTGGTAGCACTGAGGGGAACAATTACCCAACTAATGGAAGCCAATTTGCCAGTTACCAATGGAATTCACTTAGTCCTTCAATGATCTGTATTACGGTGCTTTTGGAGGCCAAGATGCTGGTGGTCATGACATGCCTGGTCCTTCTGGCCTTAATCAACAAGGAACTTATGATTGGGTCAGCAGACCTTATTAGACCTTCAAGCACTGGCGATGGTAGTACAGGAAATAATCTTGGTGATATGGCCATGGTGATAGTTGACAAAACTTCAATTATTATGTTGTTGATCAAATCAGTTTTTTTCTATCTAGTTGGTTACCATTTGGGAAATAAGTGTGGTTTTTAGTGTGTTCTGCATGTATGGGCATATTTAGGACAAAGAGCTCTTGGAATTTATTTCATGAGTCTGATCCTGTCATCCATGCAATTCATTATTCGTATCTTTTATGTTGTATAACAAATGCAATCATCATTTGATAAAAAATGAAAGTTGTCGATTACATGATGAAGACATACACTATTGACAATGGAGACAGGCTAGAGCTGCGGCCGGTTTGTAGGGTTCATGTGTTAATTAGGTTTATTCATATTGTTATGTTTAATTAGGATTATTCAAACAGTTATGCATGTTTTTGAATATGGAGCAACGCCGAAGCCTGGAGAAGCTAGGTGTGACGGCCGTTCAACGTAATTGTTGCATGGGCAGTCTGGTACGTTGATGGATCCATCCTCTGCGGTGTGCTCTGGACTGTCTAAGGATTGTCTGTCATGCAATGCATGAATGGGCTGTCCGCAGGTTAATGGATCCATTCAAGGCATGAATGTATGGCCTTCTGAGAGGCATGGGTTCATCGGAGCTCGCACAACCATCGCCTTCGTCTCCAAGTAGGCGTAGTTAGACATCCACCTCTGGCATCCTCTGGCACCTATTTGACCCTACTTTGGTGCTAGAAGAATATTTTTGAGGTGGTTATTTTATAATGTGTGGGTACACTTTGATTGTAACATTGACCTACATAGAGAAAGGTCTTTGTTATCATATATGTAATTTTATTGTTAGGTCTTTGTTATCGTATAAGTACTTTTTATGTACCCCAAATATTTATTCTAAGGTTCTCTGAGATCTTTAATAATTATTGTTTTCGATGTTGCATGTGTCTCATATTCAAATTTTTCAAATGACCTTGGATGGAGAAATGACCAAAATGAAAGTTGCAGATCTCGAAAAGTTATACAACTTTGTAGTTGACAACTTTTTTATTTGAAATCATTTTGTCAAGGAAAACTATGTTTGAATTTCTCAAATTTGAAATTTGAATATTTAAAATGTAATTATAATTTGTAGCAAATGTTATGAAACATTTAAAGCATGAAACAAAAGGCATTATAAATTGTATATGAAATCAAATTTGAAATAAAAATTTTTGAGATTTATTTTTTTTACTACGCAATTTCCAATTTGCAGCCTATTTATGTTAAATGAAATATTAAAATTGTTGCATGGGCGGGAATAAACCGCTAGGTAGGCAGCAGTTTCGCCGCATGCCAAAATTTGACTTTAATACCGGGTTCGCCACAACCTGACACTAAAAGCCCTCTAGTCCCGGTTGCAGGCCCAACCTGGGACTAAAGGTTGAAACTATTAGTCCAAGGTTGGGCCATGAACCGGGACTAGAGGCCTTCAATCCCGATTGGAGGCCCAATCTGGGACTAAAAGGTCCAGCCCTACATATACTCGTCGCCTCTTCTTCTTCCTATGCCACCACCTAGAGAGCTCTCCGCCACCCCGCCACTCCCCTCGTCCTCGACTCTGGCGCATGCGGCCTCGCCCTAACCCTCGTCTCGATCCAGCTTGCCTTGCCCTCGTCCTCTCTCCCCGACGCACGCGGCCTCGCCCTCATCCTCGTCTCCAGCGACCGACCTCCCCTTGTTCTCGGCTCTAGCGCACGTGGACTCACCCTCGCCCTCATCTCAATCCAGCCGGCCTTGCCCTTGTCCTCTCTCCCAGCACATGCGACTGCGCCCTCATCCTCATCACCGGCGGCCAACCACGCCGTCATCCTCGGCTCTGGCACGTGCGGCCTCGCCCTCTCCTCGATTGGCTCTGGCTGGCCTCGCCCTCGTCCTCGATTGGCTCCAGCGGCAGGCGGCACCCTCATCCTCGTCTCCGGTGCATGCGGTGGCTCCATCGCCCTTGTCTCCACCAGCACCGGCCTTCGTCTCTCTGGCCTCAACATCGTCTCCACCTATGCCTTCATCTCTGGCCTCGACCTCTTCGTCTCTGGCCTCGCCCACCAGGTGCGTCGTGCCAAACCCTCCTTCTTGCCGTGTGAAACCGGAGCACTCAACCCTAACTTAAGCTAATTGGCTAGCTATTTGTTTTCGATCTACCTTGTATTTGCTTTAGTGATATATATTTTGATATATATATGTGGAAAGATACTGACTTTGGTAATATAAATTTTGATATATTGACTTTAGTGTGATATATTGTATATATATGCATTGGTATATATATAGGGTCAAGTTATATGAATTTTGATATATAGGGTTTACATGTGAATTTTCTATATGAAAAATATTGTCTTGAGTGATATATATGACTTTTGATATTCTGTAATATATATATATATATATATATATAATATATGAATTTTGGTGTATGAATTCAATGACTCGGTGATATTAATTTTTGTATATTAACTTTAGTGAGAAGAGATGGCTAGGACGTCTCTCTGAATCAATTGTCCCGAGTTGGGGCTATTGTATTACTTGGGGATTCGAACCAAGATTGTCGGCTGTGTACCGTTCAATCATCCTAGTATAGTAAGCAACGATATATGTTTTAATAAATTAATATGTTTTAAATACACTTGTACATAATATATATTTCTGATATGTATATATATATGTGTTTTCTTAAATGTACCTTAGATAATTGTCCAAATCGTTTGGTTTGAAGAGACACTCTCAAATTTTGGGGTTGAGGGAGTGGATGTTGAGGCCTTTGATGTAGATAATGGTCGATTGGTCCAATGTCGAATTGGCTTTTCCATTGCCGCTAGGAGGGGTACAGGTGTTGAACAAATCTCAAAGGTGGGAGTAAAGACACCTAAGGAGAAAATTGCAATTAAATATATTGTCATTGCATGTTTGAATAAGCTTGCAAATATTGGGTACACCCTGACTACACTATCCTCCTTGATGATACAAGCAATAGATGCGGGCTAGTATCATGATGTTGCAGGCTACCGTGCAAGGATTACTCAAACCAATAGAAATGATGTGGTAAAGTCGAAGTCGAACTCATAGCTTATATTCAGATTTGTTGTTATTGGAAAGCTTTGTTCTCATATCCATTTTTTTGTCAACACTTACAGGTTGAGGACTATGACCTAACCTATGCAGGTTATAGCTTTGAAGCCATTCTAAACTAGACAATGTATGCATTGGGTTTTGATTGGAATGCTGACGAATGGACAACACTCACTACGGAAGGATTTCAAGAAAAGTTGATCATGACTAAGAGGGGATCATCTAACCCACCGACTTCTCGACCACCGCTTTCCATCATTTGTAGACCATGTGCTCGTACTTTTGAATCAAGCAAGAGTGCACTACTTAATGTGTTGCTCTACGTCAAAGATATTTGTGGATACAAGATCGGTGACATACATTTCGCTGAGTACAAAATACGACGTAGTCAAACTTGGCGGTGATCTACTTGCGCTTGCATGAACTTGGTGTGTAATTTAACTTTGGGGTGTACTTGGACACATCTAGTTTGTAATGACTTGTTTTAAATTATTATGGTTTGTATGAACTTATGAATGGGGATGATCATTGTAATATATAAGCTCTTAATTAGTTTCATTCATACTTATGGATGACGTACAATAGTATAGCATATAATATGTGTATGAAAACTATTTGAAATAAAAACAAATTGAATGGAAATAAACTATAAAAGAAAAGAAAAGAAAAGAAAAAGAAAACAAAAAAGTGATATTTAGTACCCGGTTGGTTATACCAACCGGGACCGGAGGTGGTCGCCCATGGGCTCGGCCTAGAGCTCCCTTTAGTCCCGGTTGGTATAAGTAACCAGGACTAAGAGGCCCCCATTCAATCCCGGTTTGTCGGCCTGGGACTAAAGGGCGGGCCTTTAGTCCTGGATTGGCAGTCCCAGTTGGGAAACCGGAACTAGATGGGATTTCACAACCGGGACTGCAACTCAGTCCTGTAGTAGTGACAGGTTATTACCCTTCTATGATGAAACATCATTACAGACGGGTCAGAAACTATCTGTGATGTAATCGATCACATACGGGTTCTAAAGTATCTTCACGAGTGGGTATGTTACCCATCTGTGATTACAGTCATCATAGAAGAAATAAAAGCATATTATTAAAACATGAATCACCCTAGTTTCCGAACATTTATGCTTAGATCCTAAAAATTACAGATAAATTGTTCATAGGCAATTGCTCAATGTTGATCATCAGATTATTGACTAGTGAAAAACACTCATAACTTGGTGCCAAATAACCATAGCGTATGCCCTTCATATTCTTTGCGCACCAGTTTAAGTTATGGAATTAGCTTGTTCCTTTTTCTTAACTTTGCTGTGGTGGCTCATGTGTCCAACATATGCTTGTCCTAAGAAAATTTTTGCAGAGCAGATCCTACACACATATTCAACCCGTCCTTTTTCATTTTCTAAGGTAGAGTGTGGCATTCTCTGCACAATATTATTATAAGAGCCAACAACTTCCCTCGTTGGCATCGGTGGTTCACTTAGCACTTGTGTAGGTTGCTCAAAGACTGGGCCAAGGTCTACCTCTTCGATGGTGTCACACCCGATTTTAACGATAAAATGGGATGCATAATCTTATGTGCGCCTAGAGATCAGTCACACACATAAGCCAACAAATGATAGATAGTATCATCACAAGTGTTTATTACATCACGAATAATATGACATAGTCTTCACATAATACAGCGGAAGTATAAAGATAACTCTCTCACAGAAGCTCCATAGCACAAGGACGTCAACTGGTTGACCACAAGTCTAGTAATCCTCAGGAAAGTCGTCATTACCATTGCAATCTGTTACCCATCCGGGATTTTTATCCAAATAATGAAAATAAACAAGCGTAAGTACATGTCGTACTCAACAAGTGTACCATGGGGTTCATGAGGCTCAAAAGGCTCGACACAGGTTTAACAACATTTAGCTTGTAGTTGTCATAGTTTTAGCATAAGAGTAGCATTAAGTTACTTTAATCCCAAAGTAAAACACATGATCAATGTAAACATGAGTAATATATAGCAAAAACAATTACTTAATAGTGATCATCTATTCCATAAGGGTTCCAAGGTCGCTCGTGATCATGAGCACGACTATTATAACAGTTTTACACTCTACAGAGTTTGTACACTTTCACTATGAGTCATGATACCCATATGCCCGGGTTTATAATTCCCAAAACACTTCCAAGGTGAGTAGGCAGGGTACACTATGAAGCCTTTCAAAGGTTCATCTAACAAGTTAGGACCGCTAGGTTTCCAATTGGCAAGCAGATATAGGAACCCCCTTGTCGAATGGCACAATTCTTTCACGGCTATACACATAAGAGTAGAGGTTGTCCTATACCCATCTTGGCAAGCCCCTCTTATGCCATAAAGGTAACCACTAACAAGTTAGAAAAGGTCCTCATACTTGACTAAAGCCAGAGCCATGTGGCCCTCACAGTTGTACTGTAAATCCCTGATGATGAATTACAGCTAAGTCCTTAGGGAGGGGAATCTATAGCATTTAGAAAGTAGCTAAACACTCCAGCCCCCTTTTTCCAAGTTGCTAAAAAGTGATGTTTTAATGATTATTGTTTA